AAAAAAAATCTTTTCGACAACAACGAAAAGTTATGATAATAAAAGAAATTCTTTTTATCTTTTGTGCTTCTTTAAACAAAGGATATAACAATAAAAGTGAAGTAAGAAAAAACATTATCGATACAAAGGTTGTAAAATGTAAGAGCAATGCTTAGCTAAAACGACAACGATTATTTGGAGTAATGCTTATAACAAATGATGGTAACAACGACGACGACGGTAACGACGATGACGATGACGGTGGTTATGATGACGGTAATGGAGGCGACGATGATACGAACGAGGAAGTGAACAAAAAAGAATATGAAGCTTTGATCAGAAAATAATTTTTTTTTCTTTTTCTTCTTCTTGTTGTTGTTATATTTACAAAAATAACGATGTTGGAAAAGCATTTGAAAAAAAATAGACGAAAAAAAATAGCTTTTAAAAAGATTACTTTTAATGTTGTTTAGTGTTTATCTTGATATAACATTAAAAAGAAAAACCTTCAAAACTAACCAAACATTACCATCTCCTCCTTCATAACCATCGCCACCAAAAAAAATCAACAACAGCAACAACAACAACAACAGCAACAGTATTGACCGATGGTCATCATTTTTAGTGCTTCACCAATACACTGGCAAACCATCGTCTAAAGTCTAAACTACAGAGCATTTAGCATTTTGACTTTCACTTTGATCAAACTCCAACACCTATCCCACTCTCCTCCCTCCTTTGTCTTCCTGCCCTCGTTGCCCTCGTTCTTCAGTTTTGCCAACGACCAACAATCACTGCCTGTCTGCATGAACAATAAATAACCGGTTATTTTGATTGAAAGTGTTTCCACCGGACATCTCTTATGTCCAACTTTTTCAACAACAAAAGAAAAAAAACAGCTTAAAAGCTTTCTACCTGTTTAAAATTTATTTAATAAAAACAAGCACTTTTTTAAACCACATTAGTAGTGAAACACTTCCCTTTTTCGCAACAAATTCTGTTCACCGCTCCATCTGCAGTATCTTCCTCCACCTTCCACACTTTCAAATAACAAACTTATCACGTTTAGTTTCCGTTAAAAAAAAAAAAGTAAAATGGAATAAAAACATAAAAAACAATCAATTTCCTAGATTTAAGCACAAAAAAACTTACTTCTACAAAAAAGAACTAAGAAACATTTCTTAAAAGACAAAAAAAAAATAGTGGTCAAGTAAATTACTCTTTTTCCTGACAGTTTTTTTTTAGTTGACTAATATTAAAATCCAAAACGACGATGATTAGGATGACGGCAATGATGTTGCTACAACCCATTAATTGCCAAACCATCTTCTGGTCATTATCCTTTCTGGGTAAGGTTACTTACTGTTCAACCTATGACATATGTTCGTTTTTCTGTACCAATATTGGCACATTGTAACCAGCCAGAAGATCATCAATCAT